GCCGGCGACGGCGAGGCACGGTGCGGGTTCAAGCGGCGGCGGCGGCGGGCTTATGGCGGCGTCGGCGGCGCCAGGGAGCGGTTTGGGGAGGTCCTAGGGAGCTCAGGGATGGCGTTGGCGAGGGTGGTCTACGAGCCAGGGCCCGACGACGGCGTGCGACTGCACGCGGCGGCGGAAAACAGAGCAACGGCGAGCGCAAGGCGCATTGTGCGGCAAGAGGAGGAATATGGTGGGGAGCTCACTAGCGAGGGAGGAGCGGCGAGGTGGTCGCGAAGGCGGGGCGGTGCGGCACCAAGAGGGCGCGGCCGGGGAAGAAGAGAGGGAGAGGTGGCTCCCGGAGCTCCTCGTCACGCGTCCACACACGCACCGGCTCCTCCGGTGCTTGGCGGCGGACAGCGACGACGAGGGCGGGACGAGCGGCAACAAGGCGGCGACGGTTGTTCGGCTGCAATGGCGCAGTGGGGGCGAGACAACGAGAGAGGGAGATGGGAGGGGCTCGGGTTTTTATAGCGGATACGAGGTTGGTTTGGGGAGGCTTAGAGGAGAAGGAACCGACATAGAGTGGTCAAGGGGAGCTAGGACGACGAGCTGGTGCGGTCAAGGTAGGGGTGCGGCGAGCTGGCGCGTGGCGTCAGGGGCGCTCGCTACCATGGCGCTAGGTGCCAAGCGGTGGAGGCAGGACGAGCTGGTTGGCGCTCGGCTGGCGAGCGACAAAGGCGGTTCGTGGGCGGTGCAAAAACGGCGACGGCATGGATGCGTTGGGCGGCGAAGGCGGTGGATCGGGTGGCCGAAATTGAACCGCGGGAGCGGGAGGAGCAGCGCGGGCTGGCTCGGGGCGAGCTGGCGCTTGGTCAAGGTGGGGGCGACGAGCTGACGACTGCCGTCAGCGGCTCTGCCACCGAGCACAAGCGGACAAGGGCAAGGGAGCGAGCGGTCGAGCCCGTGAGGGAAAAAGGCGAAGAGGGCGGTGGAAAGGGGAACTCGTCCCTTCCGTTTTGGGCGGCGGGCAGGCGACGACCGGGTGGTCGGCCTCCACGCGAGCGCGTGCGGGAAAGGCGAAGGCAGTGGTTTGAGCGACGCCGGCGGGAAAATCGGCACCGGGGGAGAGAGAAAGAGAGAGGAAGAAAGCATCGAGAGAGACAGGGGGGAAAGAGCGGCGCTCTCTCTCGGCTCGGTGGGGGCACGTGCGACTCACGTGGAGAGGGAGGAGTTGGGCAGATGGGAGATGGGCCGAGGGGAGGGGATCCGGTCCATCCAAAATATGAGGAGGCAAAATAGACTTTTACAGAGAAGACAGATTTGGAGAGAATTCGAATTGGGGGTTTGGATTTGGATTTCGAATTTGATGCTTGGTCTTAGGGACACAAGGTGGAGTCAAGGAAGGAACTCAAATGGGAATCGGGAACATGTATTTGGCAAGGATTTCAAGAGAGGATTTGAATTTCGGGATTTGATTTGGAGACTTGAATTGGAAGAGGAATTTTGAGGAGGATGATTTTGATGGCGACGAGAGGGAACAACGATGGAGATTGAATTGAGATCCGCGGCACGACTTAGACTCAGCACTCAAAGAACGAAATTTTCACAGATAGGATTTTACCGAAATAGTTTTTAATGCCTCTCAAAAAGCGGAGCGTTACAAAATTTCTCAGAGAACTACAGATTTAAGATAGGGTATCGCAAAACTACAGATTTAGTAACAAAATTATCATAAAACTACAGGTTTAGTATCAATTCAATCACAAAACTTAGACGTTTATAACTCAAATATAACACTAGTGCTAAGGATTTAAACTCCAATATCTATAGTTTTGTGATAACTTTGTTACTAAATCTGTAGTTTTGCGATACTCAACCTTAAATATGTAGTTCTCTGAGAACTTTAGTGTTAAATATGTAGTTTTGTGAAACATCTTCTTAAATCTGTAGTTTTGTGATAATTTGACCAAAGTATTTGTAGTTTTGTGAAATTTACTCTAAAATATAATACCATTTTATACTTATGCTAAACAAGCCTATCAATTTTTTAATCTGTCACCTAAAATTTTAGCAATTTAAATAGTAAATATGTCAGTTTGGATTGAGGTCAAACAATTGGCTGCACCCATACCCTACTCGGTCATATTTTAGAGTTTCTTCGCATACTATTAAATTTTGGCTTTAAATTAGTACTATATCCGTCCCAAAATATAACAACTTTTGGCTATGAATCTGGACATCTGTATGTGCCATAAATTTGCTATATTTTAGGACGGAGGGAGTAGCTAATTAAACATGAGATATCTAACTTTACCTGTAAGTGCAATAAATTTGAACAATTTTAATAATTTGGTAAGGCAGAGAACTAAAACGGTCTATATAGTATTTTGGAGTGTCTTGCACAAGCACTAAAAAAGTAGATGAAATTAAAGGGATAATATTTGTTGTTTGAGATGAGAAAGTAGTGGATAAAAGGCTATATTTTAGGATGATGACTATTTTTAAAGCTACTTGCTTTGTTTAGAAATATAAGGGACCATGGCAGTTTCATTTATCCATAAATATAATGGAATTTTTTATCCCGAGAAGAAAAAGGTACAGCAAATATCACCTCAGTTGTCTATTGATCAACCTTTCGACATGCCACCTTTTTACTTTATCCATATTAAATATGTTAAAATTTCAACAAACATCACCTTAGTTGTATTGTTTTAACCTTAGTTTTTATTAAAAATAACATAATTTATTATCTTATCTTACTATAAAGTTGATGCTCACTAATTTCTAAAGCTTAACATACAATTATGCTACATTATTATCCACTAGTATTTATAGATGGATGGTGTAAAATTTACTGTATTTTTAAAAGGGAGTAGGAGTAGCTACCTCTGCAACCTCTGGAAAACGTTTTAATTATACACAATTTTGGAGCCACATATTAATGGAAGATGACAGTCGTGGTTCACGTTTATTAATTATTGTCCTATTGTACGTCTGGCTTGTCCATTTTCTCTTCAATGCATGGGTACCAGTTACCACTTACCACTCTACCAGGCTACAAGCATCCAGTAGCTAACTACTCCATATAATATATATTTAAAGACGGGTACTGTGTTCACCTATTAATATGACAAATAATATTATGTCGTTAGGAAATAAGACAAAATTTACGGGAAAACTTAAACCATAGAAGCATACTAATTAATTTTAAAAATATAAGCATTTCTGAGTTCTAACTTATTTTAAGAAAAATGTAAGCTAGAGCCGTGGAGGGGAATATTTTCTTTTAGTCAGCATTCTAATTAGCTTTTGGCTGAGTTGATTAGCCGGGCATGTTTTCCAGGTAATTAAATATTATATATTATGCTGACGAAAAAAGTTGTTTTTATAAAAAAAAACACACGCCGTTTAACGAGTTGGAAAACATACTCATGAAAATCAAAAAATCAAAGGAGTAGCGAAACCATCTAGCCAAAACAAAACGGGGCCTTATCACTTTAGTGGTCAAATTTTGAATTGCTTAAATTCTCTTCCAAAACATCTCATTGGATGTAAATGTATGGATATGTGCATTGGGAATTACACTACTGGAGAACTGATATTTGCTGGATCAACCCAAAACCACAATAGTCCCGGTTCCAAAAAAAATCGGGACTAAAAATGATCTTTAACCCCGGTTGAAAACCCCACAGCCATTCTTACCTGTCAGAGGCATGTCAGGGGGCTGAGGATCTTAGTCCCGGTTGGTGTCACCAACCGGGACTAAAGATCACCACTTTATTACCAACCGGGACTAAAGATCATCTAGATCTTTACTCTCGGTTGGTATTACCAACCGGAACTAAAATTCAACACATAGTATATAATCCCTAGCTCATATCCTCTCCTCCACAATCACAACCACTTCTTCACACAGATCGATCCTCTCCTTCTCTCCCCCTACTCCCCTTTCTCCTCTCCCCTCTCCTACACAGATCTTACACATCATCGTCCCCTCTCCTCCCCCTCCTCCCTTCCCATCCAGTAGCAGGCGGCAGCGGGCAGGCGGCTGGCGGCCGGCGGGGCCACGCCCGGCGGTGGCGGGCAGGTGGGCGGCGGCGGGCAGGTGGCTGGCAGCGGGGAGGCGGCCGGCGGCCGGCGGGGCCACAGGCGACGGTCGGCGGCAGGCGGCAGCCGGCGTTGTTTTCTCTTTTTCTTTGATAATTTGTGATTCACTGTGATGTATAATTTTGTGATTCATTGTATGGATCTGAGATGCATAATCTATGATGTATTTGATTTATGTGTAATATTTTTAGGATTTATGATGTATTTGATTTGTGCGTATAAGTAACTTCAAGATTTGTGATGTGAATTTGAGATGTTGTTTTGATTTGGGGATTTGGGGATATGCATGCCACTCGATTCGGGAGAAAATAAAAAAGAAAAGGGACCATCTGGACCGCCGCTATCATCTCTTTAGTCCCGGTAAAGATCCCTCTCTTTAGTCCCGGTTATTTTAACCGGTTTCGGATTCCTACTCCCGGTTGGAAACCCGGGACTAAAGGGGTTAATAATCGGGAGTAAAAAATATTTCTCCACCCATGTTAGTGTCCCATAAATGCTTACATGCTTATATATTGTCATACAAAATTTGAATAATATGATTATTCATAGAGTAAAGTGTACGGGCGATCCTTAAACTTGTAGGGATGTGTCGTCTAGGTCCCTAAACTTTCAAAATGTATATCCAAGTCCCAGAACTTATCATAGTGTGTCATTTAGGTCCCAAATCACCACAACCCCTTCAGAATCCTATGTGGCGTTGATGTGGCATGCCACACAGATATGATGTGGCATTATTTTGACTGACAAATAGGACCCATTTAATTTTTTTCCTTTTTTCTTTTTTCTTTCTCTTTTTTCCCCTTTCTTCTCCTTTCTCTGTTATCCGTGCAGAAGCATGGAAAAAAAAGAAGAATGAGAAGAAAATTAGAAAGAAAAGAAAAGAAGAAAAAAAAAAGAAAACGACACGTCACGTCTACGTGGCATTGCCACATCAGCACCACGTAGGATCCTAGAGGGGATGCGTCGACTTGGGACCTAGATGATACACTTTGACAAGTTTTAGGACCTGGATATGCATTTTGAGAGTTTAGGGACCTATATGACACAACCCTACAAGTTTAAGACACAACCCTACAAGTTTAAGGACCGCTAATGTACTTTACTCTAATTATATTTTGCAACAGAGAGGGCAGGGCTGAGTACCATCCTAAAGTTTTCAGCAGTCGAAGCAAAGTGCGGCCCGTCACAGCCCGTGGGCCGAACGGCCCATGTCGTTGCTCGACGAAGACCGGTCAACTCCTCCTTGTACCCACCACTGACCACTGTCGCCATTGTCGCCAAGAGCTTAGAGCTTCTTCTATCCTCGAGCACAAGCACGGCTGCACGGCAATGGCGATCATAAATTAAGCCAAGCTCGTCGAGCTAGGTACGGGGTAGTAAGCAAGCAAGATGAGGGGCGATGGTGCTGGCAGTGGTAGCTACGAGTACTTGAGCTGCCAGAAAACCACCGGGATGATCTGGAACCTGACCTCCTCCTACACCGACAAGAGCAATGAGGCATCCATGGTGTCCGCCTCCCTCATCGTCTTCGCCCTCGCCGCCCTCTTCTTCAACCTCAACCTCTTCAGCGGCATCTCCGACGTCGGCGCCATCCTCGACCCCAAGGTCCGCGTCATCCTCTCCAAGGCGCTCTCGCTCTTCCTCCCCGTCATGTCCTACCTCTTCTCCGAGGCCAAGAACGCCGGTGCCGCCGCCTCCGCCGCCGGCGGTAGCACGGGCTCGCTCGAGCTCGAGCTCTCGCTGCGGGCGCGGCTGATCCTCGTGTGGATGCTCCTCGTCGAGCTGCTCCGCAAGAAGGTGGAGGAGATTCGGATGGAGGCATGGCACGCCGGCACCGTCGAGCGCGCCGGCCGCGTCGCGTGGCTCGGCAGCCTCGTCTTCTTCAACCTCCGCGCCGCCGGCCGCAAGGCCGTGTTCGGCATCCTGTGGACTCTCTGCGCCGCCAAGCTGGTGCAGCGGATGACCTACACCGAGGTCGGCAAGCGCTCCTTCGCCTACGGCAAGAACGCCAAGCTCGTCATCTCCTACATGGCGCAGATGCTTCAGAACGATGCCGAGGTCGAGCTCGAGCACCACCCCCATGGCTGCCATGGCGGGGACGAGCTCTTGAGGAGATGCAAGTATTTGGTGATGGGAGAAGAAGGCCTGGTGATCGAACCGATCAACTCCGGCTACAGGATCACCGGCGACATCGACGCCGTCACCACCGTCGGCAAGATCTGGACCCTCGCCGAGAGCGACCATCTCCTCGCGTCGCTCGACATGGACCATCGCCTCAGGAGGCTCTGCGTGTCGTTCGCGCTCTTCAAGCTGCTGCGCCGGAGCTTCGAGCGCCTGCCGCCGATGACCGAGGCGGAGACCCGCCATTGCCGGGACCTCCTCTTCAGAGGCCTGTACGCCGGCGCCGGAGACGGAGACGGAGGCGGAGCGGAGGCGTTGTTCGAGGTGATGAGCGATGAGGCCAACTTCGTGGCCGAGTACTACCACTCCGTCGTCCCCGTGGTGCTCGCGAGCCCCTTCTTCCTGCTCGCCAACTACGTCCTCCTCCCGCTCGTCGTGCTCGTGCTCTGCCTCGTCGTCGTCGTGCTCTGCGGCAACGGCGACGTGCTCTTCTCCCTCCGAAGCATCGAGAGCGACAACTACACCATGTCGTCCGGCGGCGTGGCGACCATGGCGAGGTGCCTGCTGCGGGCCGTCGCGACGTCGCCGGCGGCGTTCTTCACAGCCATCGACCTCTCCATCACGTCGCTCCTCTTCCTCGTGCTCGTGTACGAGGAGGTGTGGGAGTTCGTCGTCTTCCTCCTCTCCAACTGGTTCATGGTGTCGCTGCTGCACGCGTACGCGTCGTCGAACGCACGGTGGCGCGACAGCGCCGCGTTCCGGTGGGCGATCCGGCGCATCCTGTGGGCGCGGAGCAAGATGCTGAGCCACCATGGCCTCCGCTTCAAGCAGTTCTCCGTTCTGAGCTCTTGCCGGCTCTCGCTGACGCTGCCGGCCGCCGTGTCGCTCGCGCTGGCGATCCTGCCCGCCGTGTCGGTGCCCTGCCAAGTGAAGCAATCCATCGCGGAGTACATGGCCAAGTCGCTGTACGACGGCGGCGACGGAATGTCCGCCGTCGCAGAGCACCCGGAGCTGTTGCCGTTCTGCGCGAGCGGCGGCGGCGGCGGCGGCGGCGTCGGCGTCGTGGAGGTCATCCTGACATGGCACATCGCCACCGCCATCCTGGAGGAGAAGTGCCCACCGGCGGCGTCCCAGAGCGACGACGCCATCGTGGCGAGGACGCTGTCCAGGTACATGGCCTACCTGGTGGCGTTCCACCCGGAGCTCCTCCCCGGCAACCAGGACAGCACGGAGCTCGTGTTCCAGGCCATGAACGACGAGCTGAAGCAGGTGCTCGGCTTCTGGGGCTACCACCTCCGGCCATTGCTAATGCTAATGCTGCGGCGCACCAGGAGGTTCGAGTGCGACATGGTCGTCATGGCCGGAGTCGCCGAGCGGCGGCCGGCGAGCAAGCAGCAGCAGCAGGAAATGACGGTGTTGCAGAAGGGCGCGGCGCTGGGGCGCGCGCTGGTGGAGAAAGCGGGGAGGGATGGTGCCGGCGGCGGGGTGTGGAAGGTGGTGGGCGATGTGTGGGTAGAGCTCGCCGTGGAGGTGGCGCCGGCGAGCGACGAGGAGCGCGTGATGGGGCACAGGAAGGTGTTGCCGGAGGGCGGCGAGTTCGTGACCGTGCTCTGGGCGCTCGCCGTGCACACCGGCATAAGCCGCCGCCTGGCTGTCACGCTCACGCCGCCGGACACGATGGATCGTGTTTGAGTACCCATTCTAAACATTAGAGGGGACATCTCGAGAGAATTCGTTCTGAGCATGTTATCTAAATAGTTATGATTTTATAAAAAAGTTCAACAAGATATATTAATATGTGATAAACTATTTCACAAATATGCAAGGTCAAATTTTATTTCTACAAGTTGTAATAAAAAAATAAATTTAACCATAAATGTACGATAACTAGTTATAATTAATTTTTTTAACTTATAGAAGTTGAATCTTTAACTTCTATGTTTGTGGAGTGGTCTATCACTGTCATGGTTACGAATAAGACATACCTATAGATGGCCAAACGGGTGGTATGGATCGGCATGGCCCAGGCCTGGCCGTGCGTAGGCCGAGGTTAGTCGGGCTGGCACAGCTCGACCTACACTCCGGGCCATGCTGTGCTAGCCCACGGGCCACACACACGGCCCAGGCACGGCCCAACACGACTCGGGCCGGCCCGAAGGCACGACCATCCATTGTATTTTTCCACAGAATAAGTCTATTTTTCATCCGTCAACTCTGTGGGTTGGGTCCATATGGCTAGAAAATAAGTCTATTTTGTATTCCTCTTCTCTTTGGCCATGTATGATATGATTCATTAAGTTTATTTTGCGTTCCTTGACTTTTTTATTTGGTCGTGCCGTGCCAGGCCGGCCCACCGTGCCGAGGGTGCGGCCCAGGCACGGCCCGGCTGTCGAGCCGGCCGGCACGGGCACGACCCCGAGTGTGGACCCCCGATTTTGGAAATCGGAAATCTTCTGTGTTTATCCGTACCAATCCCTGGATCAGTAGTTGGTACACCATACACACATACATAGTTGAATCACAACATATCACAAATGAGTTTAGGCTAAAGGAGTTAAATACTTACATTAGGGCCAGGTAGGCCAAAAACTATCAGAGAACAACAGTGGAAAACAAAATAATATAAGGGCCCGGTTAACATGCCACAGGCAGTCGACTGGGGAACGAGACCTAGGACAAGACCGCACTCCGATCATCTTGTTGGATACGCAAGCGTACCGACAAGGGCTTCTCTTCAACACTCTCCTAAAAGATATATAAATAGCAAGGGTGAGTACCAACCGTACTCAGCAAGCCACCACAACAACAATGCATATGATAAAGGGTATTTCAAGGAATGGCTTTAGGTTCTTTTGCATAAAGCTAGTTTTGCAATTCTTTTCACAAGCCTAAGACCTAGCATAGACTGATCAAATTTTAATACCAGTGTTCATATTAAACAACGATGGTTCTGTCCACCATCCATTATGATCCCAAGGATAGCTTCCCGCCATTGAATCGTCATGGTTTTCTGAGGATGTCCACCTTCCCTCCTCTCAGGAAGTGGCTCCAACAGCATAAAAATCATCATGCAATATCCCATCCCACACAAGTTAAGAATTTAGAGTCTAGCCAAGTGTAATACACGTCCCGGTGCTCAATAACCGCGAGCACGGCTATTCGAATAGATTTGGTTCACTCACACTGCAGTGGATGTATACTTTACCCGCACTCCGCGACTGCCCAACACATGAGCCTCGTCCCAACACATAAGACGCGTCACGGCAAAGCTTTTCGATAACCTCGCATTGGCAGTACCCGCTCCATGAACTTTAAATCCTCATGCACTCTAGGCGTAATACGATTTCTAGCAGTGAGAGGAGTTCTGGCGCTCCTGGGGAGGGAAAACTCACACATGCATTCCTAACATTGCATCCGGTAGTTGAACCCAATCCATTTCAGCTGTCCTCTTTTGGGTTCCTTCTCATAGTCTTATCAAGTCAGTCTTTGGCCATCCGTAACGGGCATCCGCCAGCAAACTACAAGTCAATCTCTGGCCCTCCTGTCAGGGCATCCGCCAGTAGACTACAAGTCAGCCTCTGGCCCTCCTGACAGGGCATCCGCCAGCAGACTGCTTGTCGATTCACACACCTAAAAGAAACCACTATGCATGGATACTGCCTCCGCTCAGCTATGTACTCCGCTAGGTCTATACCCATACGAGAAGTGCGATCGTACGGGGGTCGTTTCATGCTTAGCTTCATGGCTCGGTCCTTAATTGACCAGGGACGGCACTAGCCTTTTCCGGATACCACCCAAATCCTCCGTCCGCCCCAGTCAAAAATAGTTGTTTAGTTTTATTTCTCCTTTCACAAATCATGTCATCAATATCATGGCAATGTGGCGCTCATGTCTCCACATGCCGCATCTCAATTACCTTCCCAAAGGTAATTGCCCAAGCATAAAGCATTTTGATAAATATGAGTATGCACGATTCTAGAATAGCATTTCTAAGCAATTATCATAGTTGACTAGGGACTCATACGTAAACATGGTTACGAAGGAATAAGGGGTAAACAATAATCAAGGCATGGCATAATCACAAGTAGGATGTTTATCATTGCATGCAATTTTATTTGTAAACAAAACAATTTCGCAATTGGGATCAACATGTTCAAAGAATAGTGATGACTTGCCTGCTCAGCACAGTCCTTATTGTCAATTTAATCTTGATCAACCTTCACCTCCTAGAAGTTGCAGACGTTGCCTCATGACTAACCGATACACAATTTCTATAATACGCAAGAAAAACCAATATTTAAGCAACAATCAAATATGCACAAACAAAATATATTTGTTGAGGTCGAACCTAGGGTTGCTCATACTATTTGTGTTTGCTAATGGATTCCAATCATGCTAGGGGCTAAGGCTTCTTAATCTTTCTATTGTCATCATGGTCTTTTTAGGAGTTAACCAACGTAGCATTTATGGGATATATGTTTGGCTAATATGTGGTTTAGTCTAGCAAATGGCTATATATGCATCTATCTAAATAGAACGGTTATACACTAGAGGTTCTGTTGCCGGATAGATTTTGGATCGGTCATATAATTACAGTAAATCATTTGTATTATTATTTTTATTGATGGAGGCTTTTCTTTAATTATGAACATATTTTACTTGTCACGATAAATTATGAAAGGTTAATAATTATCCATGCTTTGTATGTTAGAGTTGTTTAGGTTAATCTTATTATGGTTACAGATTATCCCGTCACATAATTTTACAATGAATACTCCTAATTTACAATTGAACTTAGATTATATTAGGTCAAGGTCTATAATTAGTATTTATCCACCATACATGTTCATCATATATTCTCTTTAATTTTAATACATGCAATCAAGCAATTTAATACTACCATATAGCTATAATGGGATGTACAATATATGTGTGTGCACAATATCTTAATATATATTGAATCAATTATTTGAATAGTTGCTATTTACTGCTTGGTTAACTAAGGGTTGCTCACCTCTCCAACTATATGCTATTATATGGGATATGTCGTTGATTAATTTTATATAGGTGATTTAATCACACTAGCTCTGTTATTATTTGCCATAAACAAGCTTAGGACCGATCTATGTGTATCCATATTTTACTTACCTAATAATTATAAGGCTAACTTTATTTAAATAACTAATAAATCATGGGTTTTAATTATACTTGGACATAGATTAATAAATGGCACTAATATTTTCCTATACATCCATTAATTTCAAACATTGATTATAATTAATTTATGTGGTTGCTACAGTGACAAAACATATTAAAGATAATTATTCTCCTGTACAATATCCATTTTTATTTATTGGCACACTATTTAGGTTAACTATTATCTAATCATTTGATATTAATTAATTTATAATTATAAATATATTTTATTAAATAGTGAATTGTGTAACATTGGAAAAGTTTATGAATTTAGATGATTTTAGGTTCAAATTTCACTCAAATCCGAGTTAAAATGAATAAGTTATGCTCGTTTAAGTATTTAAATTTGAATTAATCCGAGAAATAGCGAAAAGTTTAATGTTCCTAATTTATTTATTTTTATTCCAAAACCTTATTCACAGCCTACCGAGGCTGACATGTGGGACCACGGGTTTATTCCTTACTCTACCGAATTACTTTTGTAGGAAAATTCCTAATGGCTCAATGACATGTGGGCCCGGCTGGAGCTCTCTCTCCTATCGTCTTCTACCTCCAGCAGAACGGGAGGCAGCACGCAGGGCACGGCTGGCTTGGCCGAGCGCAGCCCGTACGGCTCGAGGGCAGCACGGCGGCGGACGGGGAGGGTGCGGCGAGCCTGCGACGACTACCCGAAGGCAGCCACAGCGCATAGCGGCGCGTGGACGGCGGTCAAGCCATGGACCGCCATGGTTCCGAGCTCGGGAGTTTCGGGGCTAGGGCGGTAGAGAGGGCTTCCAGCCAAATTGATGGGCGTGGAAGCGTCTACGGCGTATGGGGATTCCATTTTGCTAGTTAGATGGAGAGGAGGAGCTCCGGGATGGCTTGTCCACGCCGAGCTCACCGGCGGCGAAACGGTGGCCGGACCGGCACGGCTATGGTTGCTAATTGGCGAAATTAAAGGGGGATCTAGTTTCCACGGAACTAGGAGAGGCCAGAGGAACGAGGAATTACCGAGAGACGGCGCGATGATGAAGATCGACTGCGGTGGTGGAGCGGAGAAGAAGGTGCAGCACGCACGCCAGGTGTTCGACGAAATGTTTTTGAGGGAGTAGAAGAGGCAGAGAGGGGAGGACGAGCTCGTGGGGGGTGGGAGGTGTGGGGAGGGAAGGGGAGGCATGGGTTTATATAGAGGGCGGAGGGGAGAGGTGGCCGGTGCAGTGATGGCGGATGGGACGCGCGCGGCGTGCGGGGCTCGAGGCGAGCGGCGACGGGACAGGAGCGCAGGCGCAGCGCGGGGCTCGGCGCGGTGGTGGCGATGGCGCAGCAGCTGGCGGCAGCGGCGCGGGGCTCGAGACGAGCGGTGACGCGACGGCGACACGCGACGACGCGGCAGGTGACATGGCGTGGCGGCGCGGGGCTCGGGCGCGATGCGGGGGCGACGGCGATAGCGCGCGCGGAGGGGAGGGGCTCGAGGGCGACGGCAACACCCGGCAGCGGCCACGCGAGGACGACGGCGACGCGGCAGCGGCGCGATGGGACGGCGCGCGGCGCACGGGGCGTGAGGGCGAGGGCGACGTGATGGCGCGGCAGCGATGGGACGGCGGGGGCGACGGC